GGCGAGCCCGACGACAAGGAGTCGAAACACAAAAAAGACAAGTCGTTGGCGAAACCGCGCAGTGTCGTGCTGTCGCGCGAGATTCAGGACGCGATTGCAAAAGCGGTCCAAGGCAAGCACAGGAGCTCGACCGACCTCGCCGCCATTTTTGAGGCCCTCGACGCCAACGAGTCGGGCTTTTTAGACCGGGATCGCTTCGAGAAAGGTCTTGGAAAGGCCAAGATCAAGCTCAAGAGAGATCAGCTCAAAGCTGTTGCCGCGTGCTTTCAAAAAAGCAAAAAAGACGGCATCGACTACTATCAATTTGTCGAGTTTGCGTCCGCGCGCACGGACGTGGACGAGCTCGCAACGATGGGCGATGCGATGCGCAAGGCGATTGCTGCGTACGACAAGCGGTCGGGCGAGCAACCATACAACGCCCTCGAGTTTTTGAAGCAGCTCGATCGAAAGAAGCGCTTGCGTCTCCCGCCCTGGGCTTTCAAGACCTTTCTCGCCGAAAACAGCATCGTGGACTTTCGTTTAAAGGAGAAGGAAGTCGCGGCCGTCGTTGCGCACTTTGAGTGCCAATACGACGATGGCGATGCCGGCGTCGACTATGAGCAGTTTGCGCGGTGGCTCCAGCCGTCACTGCACTACGATGTCGCCGAGCTTCACGATCAGCTCAAGCACCTCTTCAAGAAAACAAAACTCAAATGGCGGGACATCTTCAAGGAGATGGACGCGGATGGCAACGGCATCGTGACGCGCCTCGAGTTTAAAGAGGCGCTACGCGAGCTTGGCATGCCCGTCACGGATGCACAGTTGCGGTGCTTGATGGACGAGTACGACACGGACGGCGACGGAAAGATGGCGTATGACGAATTCCTCCGAGCTCTCGGACAAGATAAGGATGACAGTGACGGCACCGAGACGTACGGCACCCGTGGCGCGAGAGTATTTACCGTCCTATTGTAGGGCGTCCCCGGAGTCGCCGTCGTTTCGCAAGAGAATGGCCGCTCGCTTCACGTTTAGCTCGTCGTACCGCCTCCATATGCTGTCGGCTGAATGGGAATTTGGATTCTGCGCTTAGGAAGTCCAAGAAAGCGCCGGCTAAAGCATCCGAGTCCGAGTCGGACGAACCGGTGGCCAAGCCGAAAAGGACAAAACTGTCCATCAAATCGTAGACATACGCCACGGCACGCTCCTCTTATCTTTTGTGTCGTCTGTTTAGTCTGTTCAGCCCCAAGGCAAGAAAACAAGCCGCCCGCGTCGAGCGACGACGACTCGCCGGCGCCATCCAAGAAGTCGACCAAGAAGAAACCAGTGACAAAGAGCAGTAGCGACAGTGAGAGCCCGCAACCCAAAGCCAAGTCGTACGCCGCAGGCGAAATGTTTCGATATGACCTTTGACGTAGATCCAAGACGAAGAAGCCAGTCGTCTCCAGCGACGAGGCACCGGTCACTTCAAAAAAGCGGTGCGCAATGATTCGTTGTCAATGGGTTGCTCATCAATCCGCATGATCAATTAGTCCTTCTACCAAGAAGCCGCAAAGCGATAGCAGCGAACCGCCGAGGTATTTTTCAATGTCCAGCCCGACAATAAACCACTTCCGGAACGCAGGCGCAGGAAAAAAGATGCATCGAGCGACGACAGTGCGGTTCCAACGAAAACCAAGTACTGTCCACAACTCGAATCTACGAGCGTACGAGCGGCTTTGGTATAGAGCATCCACCAAGGCGAAGCAAAAGGCATCTTCCCGGTACAAGGACAGTTGTTGCAACCTCTCCGAAGCACGTCGCATCACTAGGAAGCCGCCCCCGTCCAGCGACTCGAATTCTGAAGAGTATGTTATACTAAGTTGCTACGGTTTGTGTTGAAATGAATCCAACTTGTAGGCCACCGCCCAAAAAAACCTCCCGCATGAAAGACCGCCCGAGTGGGCGCACGACCAAGTCACGGTACATGTGTGCGTTGGCCCCTTTCCTGCTTAGCGCTTTTGAGTTAGATCATCCAAAGCGAGAGCGGCCAGCTCGACGGACAGCGCTGGCGCCCCGTCGCCGCCAAAGCGCGCATCTAGGTCGGCGCGCCGGCGGTCGGCCACGCCCAAGAAGGTTCGCTATGCAAGCGACTCGAACGGACGCCCGGCGCCGTCCGACGACGAGGGGGCGTCGTCGGACTCGTCAGGCATGAACGTGGCCGACCTTCGCAAGTACAAGGATCGAGCCAAGTCAAAAGCGAAACGCAGGCGCCGGCG